TGCCCTCAACTTAAAAGACACTTATTTTCACATCTCAATCACCTCCCACCACCAGAGGTTCCTCCGCTTTACTAAGGGCCCAGAGTACTACCAATTTACAGCCCTCCCCTGTGGCATCTCAACAACCCCTGGGTCTTCACCAAATGCATGGCAGCGGTGGCCACCGCCCTCAGGAAAAGGGGTGTTCAAGTGTTCCCCTACCTCAATAACTGGCTCCTGAGGGGGGATTCCAAGAGCCAGGAGAGAGCCCACATTGCCATAGTCTGCGGCCTCTTCAAAGACTTAGGTCTTCTAAATCTGGACAAATCAACCCTAACTTCCACCCCGACAATAGAGTTTGTGGGTGCCACTCTGGACTCTTCGTCGGCAAGAGCCTCCCTACCTAACTCCCAGTTCCTCACAATAGAGACAACGGTCAAGGCGCTCCAGAACTTTCCAGTGACTACCGCCCGGACCTGCATATGTCTCCTGGACCTCATGGCTTCCTGCACTTATGTAGTACAGCACAGCAGACTGAGCATGCGCCCGTTACAGATGTGGCTATCGCAAGTTCACAACCCAGTTGTTCACTCAAAGGACAGGGTGGTGACGGTTCCTGCACCCGTCCTCTTTGCGTTGGACTGGTGGACCCACCAAGCGGAGGTCTGCACAGGGGTCCCGTTCTCCAATCCAGTGCCATCCACCCGCCTCATCACATCCACATTGGACACCAGCTGGGGAGCCCACCTACACAAGGTATGTGGTCTGCGGATGAGATTCCCCTGCATATCAACATCAGGGAGCTCCGGGCAGTCTAATTGGCCTGTGCGGTTTTTCTTCCCCTCCTCAGGGGCAAGTCTTTCCTTATTCTGCCAGACAACACAACAGCAGTGGTGTATATAAACAAGCAGGGCGGGGTACACTCCCCTCACCTGTGCTTAGAAGCGATTTGCCTTTGGGATCTCTGCATCAGGGCAGATATCCACCAGACGGCCTCGTACCTATCGGGTTCCCAAAATGTCCTCTTGGACAGGCTGAGCAGGTCCTTTGTGGGGCACGAATGATCCCTAAGGTGGGATGTGGCCCACTCTATTTTCTGTGCGTGGGGGTCTCCCCATCTAGACCTATTCATCACAGGGCAGAACAAGAAGTGCCTGAGGTTCTGCTCCCTCATGGGACAAAGGAGGGGTTCTCTAGGAGACGCTCTCCTTCCCTGGCTGGGCAGCCTGCTTTATGCCTTTCCCCCATTCCCACTCGTTCAAAGGGTTCTCCTGAGAGTGCGGCAGTTCAAGGCATCCCTCATCCTAATCGCCTCTGCATGGCCCAGACAAAACCGGTTCTCAACCCTCCTCAGCATGTCACGCGAGAGAATTTTAACCCTCCCCCTGGTCCTGGACCTGATTTCCCAGGACTCAGGCAGGCTCCACCACCCGGACTTCGCTGCACCTGACAGCGTAGAAGCTCCGTGGCTGACAGCAGAAGAGCTTCAGTGCTCAGCACGGGTCCAGGAAGTTCTGCTGGGTAGCGGGAAGCCCTCCACTATGGCCACCTATCTCGCCAAGTGGAAGTGGTTCTACATCTGGGCCTCCCATAAAGGGGTGCACTCAAGGCGGGCAACAATTCCCCTGATCCTGGATTACCTATTGGACCTCAGGCTACAGGGCCTCTCTTCCCCCTCCATTAAGGTCCACTTAGCAGCCATCTCAGCCTTCCACCCAGGAGGGGGGGGGGGAGAACCTTGTTTGCCAACCCTATGGTTAACAGGCTTCTGAAAGGGAAGGACAGAATCTACCCACACGTCCGCCAGCCAATTCCCCAGTGGGACCTACACCTGGTCCTTGCCAAACTCATGGAACCCCCATTCGAGCCACTAGCCACGTGATCCCTCCTGTACTTGTCATATAAGGTGTCCTTTCTGGTAGCACTTACGTCCACTAGGTGAGTATCTGAACTCAGGGCACTCACCTCAGATCCCCCCACACGGTGTTTTTCAAAGAGAAGGTCAGGCTCCGCCCCCATCCGGCTTTTTTGCCCAAGGTGGTGTCTTCTTTCCATGCCTCCCAGGATATCGTCTTGCCAGCGTTTTACCCTAAGCCGCATGCATCTGGCAAAGAACAGGCTTTACACACGTTAGACGTGCATAGGGCATTAGCCTTTTATTTAGACAGAACAAAACCATTCTGAAAATCACCGCAACTTTTTGTGGCCATTGCAGAATGGGTGAGGGGTCAGTCCGTGTCTTCACAGCGGATCTCCTCCTGGATTACCGCCTGCATCAGAGTGTGCTACATCCTGGCGGGGGTGCTGGCTCCACCCCTTAGAGCGCACTCCACAAGGGCTATGGCCGCCTCCACTGCTTTTGTGGCAGAGGTTCCCATCCTGGACATTTGCAGAGCCGCCATGTGGTCCTCTGTCCATACTTTAGCACACAGTGATTGTCAAACGCATCAAGTCAGAGAGGATGCCGCCCTGGGTAGGACGGTTCTCCACTCCTCAGTAGCTTCAGTATCTGGCCCTCTTCCGTAGGTTCTGCTTTGGAGTCAGCTAATTGGAATGCACATGAACAATCACTCGAAGAAGAACAAACGGTTACTTACCTCATAACTTTTGTTCTTTGAGATGTGTTGCTCATGTCCATTCCAAATCCCCACCCACCGCCCTTTCGACAGGCAGCCAGCAGGCTCTGGGTGTGCATTGGTGCCAGCTGGCTGCGCAGCCATGGTGTTTCCCGGGCCGTGGCTTTTAAAATCGGTGGAGCAGGGCTAGGTGTTGCCAGGGACGGCGCCAGCTGCTTACCTGAAATGCTGCCCCTGGTAAAGTGCCACCCCAAGCACCTGCCTGATTTGCTGGTGCCTAGAGCTGACCCTGGTGTCCATAATTCCCTTGTTAGCCCCCCGAGACTGGTACGCTGCCCTCAACTTAAAAGACACTTATTTTCACATCTCAATCACCTCCCACCACCAGAGGTTCCTCCGCTTTACTAAGGGCCCAGAGTACTACCAATTTACAGCCCTCCCCTGTGGCATCTCAACAACCCCTGGGTCTTCACCAAATGCATGGCAGCGGTGGCCACCGCCCTCAGGAAAAGGGGTGTTCAAGTGTTCCCCTACCTCAATAACTGGCTCCTGAGGGGGGATTCCAAGAGCCAGGAGAGAGCCCACATTGCCATAGTCTGCGGCCTCTTCAAAGACTTAGGTCTTCTAAATCTGGACAAATCAACCCTAACTTCCACCCCGACAATAGAGTTTGTGGGTGCCACTCTGGACTCTTCGTCGGCAAGAGCCTCCCTACCTAACTCCCAGTTCCTCACAATAGAGACAACGGTCAAGGCGCTCCAGAACTTTCCAGTGACTACCGCCCGGACCTGCATATGTCTCCTGGACCTCATGGCTTCCTGCACTTATGTAGTACAGCACAGCAGACTGAGCATGCGCCCGTTACAGATGTGGCTATCGCAAGTTCACAACCCAGTTGTTCACTCAAAGGACAGGGTGGTGACGGTTCCTGCACCCGTCCTCTTTGCGTTGGACTGGTGGACCCACCAAGCGGAGGTCTGCACAGGGGTCCCGTTCTCCAATCCAGTGCCATCCACCCGCCTCATCACATCCACATTGGACACCAGCTGGGGAGCCCACCTACACAAGGTATGTGGTCTGCGGATGAGATTCCCCTGCATATCAACATCAGGGAGCTCCGGGCAGTCTAATTGGCCTGTGCGGTTTTTCTTCCCCTCCTCAGGGGCAAGTCTTTCCTTATTCTGCCAGACAACACAACAGCAGTGGTGTATATAAACAAGCAGGGCGGGGTACACTCCCCTCACCTGTGCTTAGAAGCGATTTGCCTTTGGGATCTCTGCATCAGGGCAGATATCCACCAGACGGCCTCGTACCTATCGGGTTCCCAAAATGTCCTCTTGGACAGGCTGAGCAGGTCCTTTGTGGGGCACGAATGATCCCTAAGGTGGGATGTGGCCCACTCTATTTTCTGTGCGTGGGGGTCTCCCCATCTAGACCTATTCATCACAGGGCAGAACAAGAAGTGCCTGAGGTTCTGCTCCCTCATGGGACAAAGGAGGGGTTCTCTAGGAGACGCTCTCCTTCCCTGGCTGGGCAGCCTGCTTTATGCCTTTCCCCCATTCCCACTCGTTCAAAGGGTTCTCCTGAGAGTGCGGCAGTTCAAGGCATCCCTCATCCTAATCGCCTCTGCATGGCCCAGACAAAACCGGTTCTCAACCCTCCTCAGCATGTCACGCGAGAGAATTTTAACCCTCCCCCTGGTCCTGGACCTGATTTCCCAGGACTCAGGCAGGCTCCACCACCCGGACTTCGCTGCACCTGACAGCGTAGAAGCTCCGTGGCTGACAGCAGAAGAGCTTCAGTGCTCAGCACGGGTCCAGGAAGTTCTGCTGGGTAGCGGGAAGCCCTCCACTATGGCCACCTATCTCGCCAAGTGGAAGTGGTTCTACATCTGGGCCTCCCATAAAGGGGTGCACTCAAGGCGGGCAACAATTCCCCTGATCCTGGATTACCTATTGGACCTCAGGCTACAGGGCCTCTCTTCCCCCTCCATTAAGGTCCACTTAGCAGCCATCTCAGCCTTCCACCCAGGAGGGGGGGGGGGAGAACCTTGTTTGCCAACCCTATGGTTAACAGGCTTCTGAAAGGGAAGGACAGAATCTACCCACACGTCCGCCAGCCAATTCCCCAGTGGGACCTACACCTGGTCCTTGCCAAACTCATGGAACCCCCATTCGAGCCACTAGCCACGTGATCCCTCCTGTACTTGTCATATAAGGTGTCCTTTCTGGTAGCACTTACGTCCACTAGGTGAGTATCTGAACTCAGGGCACTCACCTCAGATCCCCCCACACGGTGTTTTTCAAAGAGAAGGTCAGGCTCCGCCCCCATCCGGCTTTTTTGCCCAAGGTGGTGTCTTCTTTCCATGCCTCCCAGGATATCGTCTTGCCAGCGTTTTACCCTAAGCCGCATGCATCTGGCAAAGAACAGGCTTTACACACGTTAGACGTGCATAGGGCATTAGCCTTTTATTTAGACAGAACAAAACCATTCTGAAAATCACCGCAACTTTTTGTGGCCATTGCAGAATGGGTGAGGGGTCAGTCCGTGTCTTCACAGCGGATCTCCTCCTGGATTACCGCCTGCATCAGAGTGTGCTACATCCTGGCGGGGGTGCTGGCTCCACCCCTTAGAGCGCACTCCACAAGGGCTATGGCCGCCTCCACTGCTTTTGTGGCAGAGGTTCCCATCCTGGACATTTGCAGAGCCGCCATGTGGTCCTCTGTCCATACTTTAGCACACAGTGATTGTCAAACGCATCAAGTCAGAGAGGATGCCGCCCTGGGTAGGACGGTTCTCCACTCCTCAGTAGCTTCAGTATCTGGCCCTCTTCCGTAGGTTCTGCTTTGGAGTCAGCTAATTGGAATGCACATGAACAATCACTCGAAGAAGAACAAACGGTTACTTACCTCATAACTTTTGTTCTTTGAGATGTGTTGCTCATGTCCATTCCAAATCCCCACCCACCGCCCTTTCTCCGGAGTATTCCGGTAAGAAGGAACTGAGTGGGTGGAGGGCCAGCAGGGGTATATATTGGCTGATATGCCTGCACCACTCCAGGGGGCTCCCTGTTGGCCCGACGGATACTGCTGAGGGAAAAATCTCAGACGACGCCGTGCACACTGCATGCACACACCTAATTGGAATGGACATGAGCAACACATCTCAATGAACAACAGTTATGAGGTAAGTAACTGTTCTTTCTGTTTCAGGTAAAGTCATGTACCAGTGCAACCCAAAGCAAGGCTTCTAATGTGAACTGGGGCAACCCCCAAACAAATAAAAAAATATATGAATAGCACTAGCATCTCAATAAGCTGCTAACAGAAGTCTTGTCCCCACTGCAGCTGCTGGAGTCTGAGTGGCACCCAGTGGCCTTAGATGGCATTGGATCTCTGGGTAAGACTATTTACCTCTTTGAATAGCAGAAATGAGCCTCCAAGCTGAAGTCTGGCACAACAAGTTTCCAATGTGTTAAGAACCAAATATGTTTATTTCAGGCTATGATGTGAACTCTCCTTCTGTATGCTTCCACAGGGAAGACTCAAAGCTGTTTCAGAATGCGTCAGTAGCTGCCCCCACCAGATTCAAAGCTCCAGATGCACACGCTCCCAAAATGTGTAGCTTTGGCCCACTTTGGGATGCAATAGTAATACTAAATTGTAATGTCAGTAGCAGTAATAGGAAATCATGGCATGAACACGAGGATGTGTTCAGAGACTGAAAATTCTTGTCTGAACATAAAATAAGCATTGGTAAATATTATGTAGCAAAAGAGAAAAGGAAGATGTAGAAAAAGTGTGACAATATTTACAACTAATATACCCCTTTTCTTCCCTTCCAGTACTCCATAATCTGCAGTTAAAACTGGATTCAAATAGACAGAGAAAACATCTCTACCCTTAAATAACTCACTGCCAAGCCACTGAAGGAGGTGAACAATAAGAGATGGCATAGGATTAGCCAATCTGTAGAATACCTGTAGGCTTCTAATACACCACAGGTGCTCTGAATTAAAAGCTCTCACCCACAGTCTTGCTTTAATCTCCTTTCCTGAAGGAGACATTAAAGATGGAAGTCATCAGATAATCCTCTGCTCTGCAGGATTATTTCCCTCTGTGTCAGTGCTAGATAGGACTTGAGCGGTCTCCCACAATGCAATCCCACAGCTTTAATTTTGTTATGGTTATAAAAAAAATGCAGCTCAGAGTTATGTTCCTTGCACCATCAGCATCCTGAGCAATTCATCTCTCGCCTGCTGACACTAAGTACTTCCAGAAAGTCACACCACCCTTTTAGCAATTGCCTGGCCATACGTATTGGTTATTCTTGCCTAATCAGCACTTCCAAATAATGAAGAATAGCCAGTCAGTGTCTGCAGCTGAAGGGAATTGCACTCCTGGGGACAGCATTTCCAGGAATGATGGAGAGGAGCCTGGCATCATCCAGGGAACTCACTTAATGCAGAGTCTGCAGCCTGGCCAGGCACCCATGTAGTTCATTTCTACAGTTTTATTTTGATTGGCTCTGCCCAGTATAACAGCTGCTGATCATCTTTTGCTTTCACACAGTTCAGCCAGAACTAATGTTAACATCACTGATTTCAGGATAGCTAGTGAGACCCAAAGACACCATGCGTTCAGGTATGCCCTGGAAAATTTATAACCAACTGGACATAGCTACAGATCACACAATTCAATATTATGTAAAGTCCTCCTCTCCCCTATGCCCTAGAACATCCTGCTCACAGGAAAGCTCTACCTTTCTTCTCTGAGATGGCCAGTCTCATAGCTTGCTTTGCAATGCTCCTGTGGTCTTTCTTTGGAGCCGCCAAACTAGTCTGATCCTGTCACTAGCTCTGTTTAGCTCCTGGAAACTATGCAGGTCTCCAGTACGGCTGTACTCCAAGACTGCCGGCTGTAGAACTGTGATGGGAACACTGTAATTCAGGTGAGGGTATGTCGCTCCCATACTGTTGTCCTTTGTGTTGCTAGCAACAATCCCTGCATATGGAGATGAATAAAAAGAAGATAAAGTATAATTTGTGAACTCTTTGGTTACATAAGAAGTTAAGAACTTAAAAAATGCCCCAAAACAACAGATAGATTGCAGGACCTAAACAGAAGCATGTGTCCTTTGCTACTTTGTATCAAGCATAGACAATCTTATTCCTCAAATCTGGCATATCAGTGCAAATGGAAAAAAGGCCAGAGTAAGATAAAGAATATCATTCTTTGTATTTATAATTATTTGGATTATTTACAATGTTTTGTATTAAATAGCTATTTACATCTGTACCATGTGATAGAACTTTGCAAATCAGGGTAAGTATTCTAACTTTTTTTCAGATGGGAAAACTGACGGACAGATTATTAAATTCCTTTGCCTAAAGGCTACACAATTTAAACAGTACCACAACTGGGGATAGGATCTTAGGGTATGTCTACACTACCCTCCTAGTTCGAACTAGGAGGGTAGCGTAGACATACCCTGAATTAGTATCTTCCTATTCATAGAAGATCAACATAAGTAAAGCTTGGAGTTCATTCAAAAAAAAAAAAGGTGTTTTACATTGAGATTGTTTACTCAAGATAGCTGTCATCTCAATGTAAAACTCTAGTGAAGAAGACAAAGCAAAAGGGAGGTTTTACTTTGATTTTGCTAGACAAGGTCAATGTCAGACCCTCTTACCTTGGCTTTACCTCGGCTGGGTACATTAAAGTAAAAAAAACCTGTCCCTTGCCTTACCTAGGATTTTACATTGACGTGGTTATCTCAGTGAAGGCACCCCTCTCCCCCCTGCCACACATCCCTTTTATAGTAATGATATAGTCTAAAAGAAGTCAAAAGGTGCTCAGATATCATGATGATAGGCATTGCATAAGAAACTAGACAGAAAGACTCCATAAGAGAAACTTTCTATTCTGAAGGGGACATAACTAACAGAGAAAATAGCAATTCCCTTTTGAAAGCTAAAAAACACTAACAAAAAAGGATACAAGTACTGAACCATCCTCTTGACGTAGCCCACACTTTCTATTGATAATATAGAGACACTGAAGAATGAGGTATCACAGCAGCAACAATTAGTAATTGCATTTTGTGGCTGTAACCATATACAGGGAAAGATCTCCTAGCTCTCTTGCTCTCACTCTCTCTCATTAGCAAGCACATGCCACCAGTATTTCAAACAGCCCTGCAAGATGCTTTCTGAAAAATGTGTACTTATTAAATTTGATACATAAAAAAAATTGTTCCCTCCACAGGCTTGTGAAGATGCTGATTGGAACAGGGCCTAAAATTGCCCTAAAAGTGGGGCTTCATACTTGAAGTAAGTAGTCCTACATAACAAAAAAGTACTCAAATTCTTATATTTAGGCACATGGTTTGCTTAAGAACATAAGAATGGCCTTACTGGGTCAGACCAAAGGTCCATCGAGCCCAGTAGCCTGTCTGCTGACAGTGGCCAGCACCAAGTGCCCCGGAGCGATTTGTCTCGTGCCATCCATCTCCAGCCTCTGACAAACAGAGGCCAGGGACACCATTCCTACCCTCTGGCTAATAGCCTTTTATGGACCTAACCTCCATGAATTAATCTAGCGTCTCTTTAAACTCTGTTATAGTTCTAGCCTTCACAGCCTCCTCTGGCAAGGAGTTCAACAGGTTGACTATGCACTGTGTGAAGAAGAACTTTTGCTTATTAGTTTTAAACCTGCTACCCATTAATTTCATTTGGTTTCCTCTAGTCCTTATATTATGGGAACTAATGAAGAACTTTTCTTTATTCACCCTCTCCACACCACTCATGACTTTATATACACCTCTATCATATCCCCCCTCAGTCTTCTCTTTTCCAAACTGAAAAGTCCCAGTCGCTTTAGCCTCTCTTCATGTGGGACCTGTTCCAAACCCCTAATCATTTTAGTTGCCCTTTTCTGAACCCTTTCCAAGGCCAAAATATCTTTTTTGAGGTGAGGAGACCACATCTGTACACACTACTCAAGAAGTGGGCATACTGTAGTTTTATACAGGGGTAGTAAGATATTCTAGGTCTTATTTTCTATCCCTTTCTTAATAATTCCTAACATTCTATTTGCCTTTTTGACTGCCGCAGCACAGTGTGGACGTTTTCAGAGAACTATCCACGATAACTCCAAGATCTCTTCCCTGATTTGTTGTAGCCAAATTAGCCCCCCATCATACTATACGTATAGCTGGGGTTATTTTTTCCAACGTGCATTACTTTACACTTATCCACATTAAACTTCATTTGCCATTTTGTTGCCCAATCACTTAGTTTTGTGAGATCTTATTGAAGTTCTTCACAGTATGCTTCTGTCTTGACTATCTTGAACAGTTTAGTATCATACACAAACTTTACTACCTCACTGCTTGCCCCTTTCTCTAGATCATTTATGAAGAAGTTGAATAGGATTGGTCCTAGGACTGACCCTTGGGGGACACCACTCTCCATTCTGAAAATTTACCATTTATTCCTACCCTTTGTTTCCTGTCTGTTAACCAGTTCTCAGATTGCTCTCTCAGAATGTGGAGGATAAGAGAAACAGATATAGCCCAGAATAGTGCAGGCAGGAACCATGCAGTGCTGCCAGTACAACTCTGCTACTTTTCCCTACTCCTGGCTTAGAACTTCAGCAGCTTTTCCAGCCTTGAACAGCTCTATACTCCCCTGTACTCTGATAGTGAAGTGAAAACATCTCATGCCTGCCCTCTCATTAACCAGCTACTAAAGAATGTTCAATTATATAATTTGAGATATACACAAATGGATAACAAGAGACCACCAAAAATCTTTTCTCTCGTTACCAGACCCAGAATCTCAACTATGATTTCAAAGAATGAAAAGAGGTATTAACTTACTTAGGCCCTTGAAAAAGGTTTCAGCTAGTCACAATGAAAGGGAGTAGCAAGTTCAAGTAAGGAAGTATCATTTAGTGGTTAAAACAAAACTGGGAATCAGGAGCCCCAGATGCTATTGCTATGTTTCATGACTGTATGTGTGACCTGAATGAAACTCTGTATTTCAGTCTCCCCATTGAGAAGGAGGAAATAGTCTTACTCTAAAAAGGCATTGTGAGGGTTAATTTTGGTGACACATTCTGAAATCCTAATATGGAAAGCATTACGGAAGCTTCAACCTCGTCCTACCTTTTATGCGATGGTGGTCATATACACATTGTTAAAATCTTTGTAAAAGTAAAAAGGTCTCTCTTGAACAAGTGGTCATGAGAACAGAGAAAGCATCTAGCAGCACCCAGCAGCGTGATTCCTTACATGACTGACCAATCCCTTCATGTGGGGTGAGAAGGGGAGGAAGAGAGATAAATGGAGACAAAACATATTTACCAAGGAGCTTTCCGCTGTTTGTAGAGAGAAGGGCTCCCCCACTTGAGCCACCATGCACTGCACAAGTTGTCTGAAGCATTACTGGCTTGTCATCCACAGTGATCACAGCTGACAAGATTCCTGATGTTACCGATGGGCCACAGCTCTGGCCAAATGCACCAAAACCAACAACACTCACTTCTTCTCCTGCATGGAGGAGACAAAAGGCAGCAAGAATCAGGTGGTGGAGGAGAGGTAAATAAAAAGGGAGAATTCATGTAGTAAATAAGCAGTGGGAGCAGATGAGCACTCAGACAAGATGTCGCCTGTAATGGAAGAAGTCAGAAAAGAGAGAATGCAATGTGACCTAGAAACAGAATGTTTGTCGAAGTGTTAGCAACACTTAAAGCCATTAGGGAAAAATTTCCCAAGCACAACCTTTGTATCTTTGAAAATAACCCCTATAAGCCACAATAAAGACATCTGTAGTTCTCATTTTCTGTCCATATTTGTAACTGCCTTAGATATAATTTTTTTATTCTTCTGCCCAAGTTTGTTTTTGCCGTTTATTAACATTGTACTATTGATTGCTTCCAGTAGCATACTGCCCTTCACCATGTTGTCGTCAGGATATAAAAGGCTTCACACTACCTGGTAGATGTAAAAATGACCTCCATAGTGAAGTGAGACATGCCTTCACTACAACTTACCTTGTTTACCATCCTTCAGACAGATTGCAGGTCATGGGACAGCATAAATATACAAGCGGATGCAAACATTTGATACATAATCTTTAGTGAAAATCAAGTACATCACATCGGTGTTCCTTTCCTCTGCTTTGCACTTTATGTACTGGATTCATGCACTGTAATAATGACTCCATATGCAGATGCAGCAAACCATGTTTGGTGACAGCACACTCAGCTTTGGACACCAGAAAGTATTTTACTTGGAGTGGATGTTGTCCAGGACACTAACTCAAACATAATCCCAGTCTTTTCCTCTGCCAAACAGCTAAATAAGAAGGGATATTTGTTAAATGTCTTACCCTGCAAATTGGCAAGAATCTTCCATCATTAAATGAAACTGCTGAATGCAGCACTTCCTTTAGTACCATTGTATAAGTCTAGCAGTTGTATCCAAGTCTAACTCTTTGCCATATCAACCCCTGTTCTAAAAGGTAAGTTTAACCAACCATAATCACATAGCTCTTTGTGTTTTCACTTCTCTAGCTAAGGATTCAGGCCCTCAGAGTTTATCAAATTACCACTCAGAATCAGACATTCAACCCCATGACCAGAGAAGCTACAAGCATGACAGTAAATAGAAGAATAGTTACCTGCACAAAACTTAGAAGCTAAAACAGGTTTTGTAAAACAGAGTGTGTTTTCCTCTAGTTCCACCACTGCTATATCATAGGGAGAATCCTCTTTTGTAGCAAACACCACTTTCCCTTTAAGGACACCGCCCCTATGAGCAAATACAAACAACAGAGCTTTTCAGTGTAAGTTCAAAAGTGCTAGTTTTAGAAAGGAATACAGACTCCAAATCTAATGATATTCTACATCGGGTTCATGCCTCCAAGTTTACCATGAATGAAGTTCACTCTCAAGGAAGCAGGATTCAACTCTTCAATACCTATGGGCATTACACAATCCCAAGAAATCCCTCATTCCAATATGGTGTAGGTAAAACAAAACTGGTTCCAAGCAGATTAAACACCCCATGTGGGACACATCCCACCACCTCAGCAATCCACTTGGTCCCCTACTTATCCCAGTACCACAATCTTAAGGGCACAACTGATCAGCACTCTCATTTCTGAGCCGAGCGCCTCTCTAGAATTGCTTAAACAGAACCCAGCATCTTTACCACTTCTTATCTGGTGGGACAGAATGGGTGCGTCTACACAGTGCCAAATTTTGAAATAACCTGCTATTCCAAAACATCCCTTACTCCTCATGGAATGAGGTTTACTGGGACATTGGAATAGTGAGCCCATTATATTTTGAAATAACGAGCTTGCTGTGAAGACACAGGATAGGTATTTCGAGATATTCCGGTATCCTGAAATAGTGTTGGGCTGTGTCTACATTGGCACCTTTTTCCGGAAAAGGGATGCTAATGAGAAGTCGGAATTGCAAATGCCGCGTGGCATTTAAATATCCCACGCGGCATTTGCATGAACATGGCTGCCGCTTTTTTCTGGCTCGGGGCTTTGCCGGAGAAAAGCACCAGTCTAGACGGGATCTTTCGGAAAATAAAGCCTTTTCCGGAAGATCCCTTATTCCTCTTAAAATCAGGAATAAGGGATCTTCCGGAAAAGGCTTTATTTTCCAAAAGATCCCGTCTAGACTGGCGCTTTTCTCTGGCAAAGCCCCGAGCCAGAAAAAAGCGGCAGCCATGTTCATGCAAATGCCACGGGGGATATTTAAATCCCCCGCGGCATTTGCAATTCCAACTTGACTCATTAGCATCCCTTTTCCGGAAAAGGGTGCCAATGTAGACACAGCCTTGCAGTGTAGACAGAGCCAATGATATAAGGTTGCACTGAAAATAATAGGCAACAGGGAAGAGACTGTTTTAACCACCTCTCGATCTGACAAAGCCTCCAGCCCCTTGGAATGTCACGTACCCCTGAGATTTCACTCCACATGCACATTTAGAACAGGAAGCAGGGGAATGCATCACTCAATGGAATGAAATCCAACATATGTAAAAGTGTCATGCTGGCAGAAAGACTGCCTTTTTGGATTAAAAAAAGATGACACAAAAAAGGGATCTTAAGAAGAATGCCATCTGCCACAGGTAGACCGTGAGACAGGGACCTGGGGGTGAGAGAATAAAAACTCGAGTAAACGTATGATCTCAGGCAGACTGCTGAATCACTGCTTGGATTATTAAGAACTATGACTATTAGTGATAGCCTGACTACAACAGGAGCATGTAACTTTTCAGACAGACATTCTAAATAACACACCTCCTCCACCACTGGGGATTTGTAGAAGAGCGCTGCCTCATTCTTCCTCGCATCTGAGTTTAACACCCCTTCTACTCTCCAGCTGCAACTGTAGGGGGTACTCCCTACAGGTCATGTTTGCTACTCCCAAGTTGGCTGTTAGGAGGCACTAAAAAGGAATAGATCCTTAGAGCCCTGCAAATCTGTGAAAACCTGCAAATCAAACATGGAAACAAATTTTATAACTCCCGGGGATACAAGAGACATTCACTCTTTCAGTAGCACTCTGCCTCAGGAGGGGGAGGGGGGGCATAAATTGGGTATTAAGCCTGGAAGTCTTCAATTTTGAACCTTCCCACTGCTGAAGTCCCCAAGTGCCCTTCATAAATGATAACTTCCTTGTAATCCAAAATGCTTTTAGTTACAAAGCGTTGGCAACAATACATTGTTTACAGAATACCAAAAATTCCCCAGGTTAATACAACTTGCTTGGTTAGTCCATAGTACTTAATGGACAAGTTGTGTTGTGCATACTTCTCTGAAATTTGTCATTTGCACTGCTTGCTATACAGTAAAATTGCTGTGTGCAAAGCAAGATGGATTTTGGAATGCATTAACTCGTCACACATTAGGCTGAATTTAGTGATCATATTAGAAGCGTATTGATAAACACCAAGGACAGACAGTAATTTTAATTCATAAAACATATTCGACCTCTGGAAGAATGTAAAAAAAAAAGATGCATAATGTTTGATCCTTCTTATCAAATACAGAGGCTGCCAAACTAATTTGCAGTAGAGCCCCATCAGCAAAGTGCAGAGCAACAAGATGACTATCACATCTGGTGAAAGGGCAGTCAGTAATGAGTGATATCGTCTTTTGCACAGCCACATATGGGATCCTCTTGTTGGCATCAGGTTTGAAGGCTAACTGCATGCTGACTCTGGGCATGACAAATCAAACATAGAATATGCACGTGCAAAGTTGGGTCAGTTAGTGTTTGAAATGTAAACACCAGCCATTTCATCCTCATTATCCAGAACTGCCTGGTTGCTCAGAAATTTGGATGGCAGTGTTTGTTAGGATATGCACAGAAGTTTTACTAGAAACTTCAAAATGGCCATTTAAGGAACAGAATAGAGGGTAAAGTATATTATACTTCACAGATTATTGTATTACCATGAGGGTTGTGCTGTCCTATTTACTGGTTATTAAAGATAAATCAAAATGAAAGTCAAGACTTACTTTTCAAGGCTGTGTTGGTCCTTTACACAGACACCAAAGGCTTCATTCACTACATGTCGACAGGTCACCACTAGCCTTGAACTGACCAGCACTCCAGATCCCCACACTTGGCCACACTCCACCAAAACCACAGTAGATAGGAGGTGCTCTGCAGGCCTGTGGCTGGCTGGCACATTCCTGACAGGCTTAGCAACCAATTGCACATGAGGCCACCAGCTTTTCATAGAAATGCCAGACTCAACTAAGATGCTTCTGATATTCTCCAGGATATGGCCAATAGAACAAACCAATGTCAATCCAACCCATTCATTGGCCTTCCAACAGAGCGGAGCCACAATTATTCCAACTAGGTTGAATCCATGTTCAGAGAACACGAAGACCCCTCCTCCTTCAGTGCCAGGCAAGCAACGAGCATCAGTCAGAATAAGGACATTGCCTTCTCCAGCTATGTTACTCACTACCCCTTTACTAAGGGTGTTCATAAAAATGTCTGGGCAAAATGAGCCGAAAGGGGAGCCACAGGCAAACAGTGTGTCACCTTTCCTCAGTGACTCTGCCAGCACACAGCTGACTTGAGCTGTACCAGGGGAGTTGAGGTCTGGGATTTCCAGTAAGGCAAACCAATGCAAACAATGTATATCATCCAAAAATGCTCCACACTCCTGTTCATGTTCACTCTTACAAAAATGCCACTGCTCGGCACAGGTGAAGACCTTGGAGAAGGTATCCTGAAAATCTGGGCAGGGCACTATCATAAGGAGTTTGGCCTCATGCTGCCTGAGGGTGCTGGGGCCCCCCTGTTGGCTTGAAAGGGGATTGAACCCCAGAACTGGACTGCAAGCCTCCAACCCTCTGCCCAACAAACCCCTGGGGTCCTCTTTGCTTCTACTTTCTGTAGGCCAGAGAATCTGGATCTGAATATCTGGGGAGAAACTATTTGCCAGCAGGACTTTGCATTGGAGCCAGCTGCCCAGCTGCGCTGCTCTCACCTCCTCCAAGAGGAAAGGAGAGAAGAGGGCTCCATGGCAGAGCACAATCCCTGGACTCTGGCTCAAGATGACCCCACTACAGCTCCAGGGTCCCAGGGCTGCAGCCCCCGCCGAGTTCCCACGTGCAGTAAAAGCAGTGACGACGCAGCAGGCCCTCTCCCCGGACAGCAGCAGCATCTCAGGCCCACGCCTGGACACGGACCCTCGACAGGAGCACGGCAGAGGTGAAGGAGCAATGGCAAGAAGAGGCGCAGGCGGCGCGGGGGGGGCCCCGGCAACAAGCGCGCCCGCGGGGCGACTATCGGGGGGGGGGGCAGGGAGCGAACACTAGAGCCCG